TGCTTATTTGTTAAAATGACCTCTCTTAAATGCTACAACATTGCCGCTACGTTGGAGATGCTCTTAGTATTAGATGTAGGTCAAATTGTGATAAGCCACTGCCATGAATTGTTTTAATCTCAGTTTTCCAAATTGTCCAATTGAGGTCATATTAACATAAGTAGACTATATATTAGGCTGATTGCAATGGGTGGGGTGAAAAACCCAAATGTGAGGTTTTCACCCCAAAAAGAGCTGCAACCCGGAGTAAATAAAGTATAGGGAGGTCTCACATGTAGTAGCTGAAACGGAGGGGAGCTGCATATAGGACGCCAATTGCCTCTGGCATGTGAGTGGAGAAAAGCTGGTGGACCAACATGCTGACATGCGCACAGAGCAAAGGAGTGGCCTTCATTTGTGCGTGGAGTTCACCCGTTGGGGAAATTGGAAAAGGCTGAAGGTTGACTTGGCTACAAAATTTAATATTAAACAAATTTTTAATACTTACAAAAAAAATTAATTCACATTTTTTATTTTTTTACATCGGAATGTTTGCTTTTTTAAACAATAATTATTGGTCAAAATAAAATTAACACATAAATGACGTGTAATAAAATAACTAAGGATTTATGCATTTAATTAAAAAAAATGTGCTGAGTGGATATATTGACGGTGCTGGGTTGCAGAGAAAAACTGAATTGACTGAGTGAATACGTATAAACTGGAGGAGAATTAGATTTATTGACGGGCTGGGTTGCGGTTAGTGTGAAAATGATGGAAATAATATCATTTGATGTGACATGTACCGATGTACGTACATTTTTAATGTTAGTATGTACCGAACATGGGACGACGGATGGCTACCAATGCCAAAAGTTCGTTTTTCCTGTGGAGGGATTGCCTAAACTCTAAACAGTGTAAATTAAAGGAAAATAGTGCAAATTAGTGGCCTAAATATGTTTATGTTTGTGGATTTAATTTAATTAAAATAAGATAAAGGGAAAATGAAAACTAATCATTCAACCTTTTAGGATTCTTCTTACAATAGTCCCACATTATCGTTATTCAAGAATAGTCCCTGACCGGTTAATGAACTGCTTCCGAATTATTTTCTTATCTTTGTAAAATATTATCTTTGTGAAATGTGAGATTTATAGTATAATGGTTTGCAAAGATAAGAAAATAACTTGGAATAACAGGTCATCAACTGGTCAGGGACCCGGGAATGAATATGATCGAGGTGCAAAGATTGGATTATTCATGAATAACGAAAATGTGTGACTATTGTAAGAAGACCGCTAAAAGGTTAGATTATTAGTTTCCATTTTTCCTAAGATAAATACAACTTCGTTAAATAAGAATGATCGGTGTCATCCTTTGATATTATCAAACTTTAAACATGATAATATTTTTCAAATTTAATAGTAATTATTTTTATTTAGAGAACACAAATATAGTACTATTAGTTTGGAATTTCAGAATGTTGTAACTCGTATTTCATCAATTTTGCCGTACTCTAAATGCATAATTTTTTAAAACTTCTTTCTCAATTTAGCATTTGACACATACGGAGTACCTAGCATTTTGCATATACAAGCATGTTCCACACAAGTACACACAACTACACAAGCAATTTGATGCAAGTAACGGATGAATCTTATTCAAAAAGTATTTGGAGCCACTCTTTTTGAGGACCGTTCGATCAAAACTTCAATGGTCGGAGATTTCGAGTCGTTATTTTTTCCATCTCCCTTGCTACACCAGACAAGATCGGACCATATGAAATCAGACTAGATCAAAAAAATTATAATCTAATTAAAATATCCTTAGCATCATATTTATAACATTAGATCTAATAATTCATTTACGGGGGAAGTAATTTCAGGTTCTTAAAATAGGACACCAGAAAAGTTAGTAAAGTGAGACTCCCTTAAAGTGGACACTTCTAGGGTTATTAATTAATTCAATATTTCATATAAATATACACTGCACATACAAATCGAGATAACGAATGCTCCATTCAATTTCGGAAGCTCCAAAAAATGCATCAATTTAGTCGGTTCTAAATTCATGAATATCGTACCGTACCATTGAATTGAAGTCACTTTCTTAAGTAACATGTGTTTTGGAATCATAAGCCTTATTTCGGATTGTAGAAATTAGTGTCTTTTGGTTGAATGAGAAAATGGTTTGATCTATTTGACCCCTCTTAGAAAGTAAATTCTCCAACTTTTTGATTTTAGAGTATAGTCTCCCTTTTTCCTCTTGAAAAGGTCTAAAACAGTTGACAGTGTTGAGACATTAAACCTCAGTTTCAGCCAGTCTTTAGTTAAGTCATTGATTGTTACATTGCTTCTAGTCTTTTTTTGGAACAATCTTCTAAAACTATTATAATATCTGCTCTTGTTAATGTCAACATTCTTGATTGGGATGAGACTCGAACCCGCGACCTCCTCTTTGGGAGATCAGCAGTGATGTCATCAGACCACAAGGTACAAAGCTAACTTCTAGTTTTTTAGAATTTAAAATAGTGACTTTTCTTGTACAAGAGTTAGGCGATTATTGAGTCTCTCTCTTTCCTCTAAGCTCTGCACCAAACAACTATGATTGTTTCCTAAATGTGTTTCTAATTCTTTAATAGATTTACATTCATTACTCATTGTTGTGAGCCTTGTAAAGAATGTAAATCTGCAATTATAATATAATTAGAAGTACTTATCTCAAAATTATTGGAAGATTCAACGCATTGATTGACAAACAACGTTGAAGAATTTGATGAGACATCCATTTTAGATTGTCATATATAGGTCGTCGATGTGTTGGTGATGAAATTATCTCTGCAATTTTCTAGACATTGAAGTGTAGCAACAATCATTTTTGACTGGTGATCGGGGATATGGTCCAAACAATTTAAGGTTTCCTTAAGGAATCTATTTTTGAAAAGCCTTAGGTCTCCGAAAAGGGGTTGGGTTTTTTAATTTGAAAACATTTTCTAAGAGGTTTTGGGAGAGAAGATAGGTTCCGTGAAGGGTTAAGGTTTTTGAAAAGGTTGGGGTTTCCCAAGGGCAACTTTCCTAAAAGTTCAAACACATCAATTTTAAAAAAAAATGGCAGTATTTTTTGAAAAACAGAAGAAGACTTGGTCAAGCGTATTGATTTAGAGCACATGAGAAAACTTGTTCACGCCTTTTGTAGATCTCATTTTCCCGTTTCTGAAAAGTGCTTATTGATCTCAATTGGATCACTGAGTCAAAAGTTATGGTCAGACAAGATCGAGGTGTTTTATTGAAACTAGCTAAGTTTCCGAAAGGAGCTAAGTTTTCCGGAAGGGACTGAGCTTTAAGAAAGGGCCAAGCTTTTTGGAAAGGGATGAGCTTTCCGGAAAGGAGCTTTTTGAAAGGAGCTTTTAGGAATGTTCTTTTAGAAAGAAGCAACTTTTTGAAAAATCTAGGTTTTTTGTACAAGTAAAATCCAAGTTTTTTGTTCCAATAAAAATTGAAAAGATCAGCAAATCAAGGTGAGTTCAACCATATAACTTTACAGGTAGTTGGAGTTCAATCATTGGTAGAAATTTTGCTTTTTGAACTTGTTTATTCTTGAGTTTTACGTTCAGAAAAGTTGCAGATCATTTTAATCTTTACACGTTTGGCTCGGATACTATTTGTGAGTTTTGATATACACAACAATCAGATCTATATGCACAACAGAGAGAAGTTAAGAAAGTATTGGATGTAATATTAAATACGATAAAAGTAAACGATAAGTTACAGATTAGGTATTGAACATGCTACAATGAACATTGGTTCTGTCAAGTATTCAGATATATCATATCTGATGTTGGGCTTCCTTATTACAATAATCTTCCGGGCCCAAATACAAATGTGGCATAGTCAAATAAATAATCTATTTATTACACAAATAAAAAGATAACTAATGCATTTGTACACAATAACATAATTCTCAACAGAAGACAACTTTATTCCCAACTTATATTTGCTCAATAGTGTGATTGCTAGATTATGTTGGGCAAATAATATGCAAGGTGCACCCAATTTTCTTGATGCGATGAATAAAAAATGGTTGCTTCCCAATCATGTGACTCTTATCATTCTCATTAATTGACATTTCCAGACAGGTAAAACCGATCTTGTTGTTAATCTTTTCAACAAAATAAATGAACATGTATGTGTTCTTGATAATGTAGCATACAACATGTTGATAAAGGGATTTTGTAAAGCTGAAAGACCCTATGATGCATTACCTATTTCAAATATTATGCTCAAGAAAGGGCATTCCCTTTCTTGATACAAAACAAAATTAAAACATCATGCAATGGAGTAAATGTGAATGTAAATCCAAGAAATTGCCAATTAAGGAAACTGCAAATCATTATAAGCTTCCTTGTAACCGACATTTAAGGTAGATGTGGTTGGTCATCCAATACATCTTCATCACATATCACAAATGTCAACCCAGATTAACTTATTCTTCTCGAGACTTCCACATATACATGTTTGTGTATAAGAACCGGGCAACGAAGAAGGATGCCAACTTATTTGAACAATTAATAATTATTGCATATCTAACCACTAATAAGAACTACATGTGCTGAAAAGTAAATGAGAGTCTAAGTTCTCATGGTGTTAAAGTAAGTAAGAATAACAATGTTTTTAATTGAACTATAATTTTGTAGTCTGATCTAGTTTGGTCAAATTTGGTCAAATCTGGTCAGATAATTTTTAATTATATTCTAATTTGGATTTTGAAGTTTTACATAAATTTTAATATAGTTTCTGAATATACAAACTTTAATTATTAAAATTAAAATAATTATCAATAGAGAGAATTTACCAAAAAAAAGTTGACTTTGAAAATCAATTTGAAATGGAAAGAGTACACTTTTTCCTTTTGTATGAACCTCAATATACACTTAACATGACATATGCATTGTGAAAAAATGTTAATGATTGTCCCATAGGACTGATAAACTAATAAATAGTATCAACATATAATAAAAATAATAATTCCAAGGAGACCTGTTTTTATTGGAATAACAATAGTTTGAAAAGAAATAAAACTAAAAATCACCCGGGACTTTAATCATTATTATAAACTTAACTTGCAACAACATCCAAATAAAGATAATATGGATAAAATGAAATTCAAATGTTCATTTTTTTCAAATGAACTTCCCCGTTAGAGATTCATTATTATCTAACGTGACGGATGGCCAGACCGGTACGCGTATAGAATTGATAGAATTAGCTCCTATGGGAACAATAGCTTCTGGTGAGGGACAAATTTGAAGGGGAATAAGTGTAGTGACTTGTTGAGTTGGAGGGGTGGATGAATGTTGCTTCCAATGCCAATGCTTATGATCTTCTTTACCTTTGGCAGACCCGGAACTCCCACCATCCCAAGGGCTTTCCTCACTTCATTTGCAAGTTCCACTATGTACTTATCCTCATGCCCGATATCCATTTTGAAAATATACTCACTGTTGTTTCCGCAAGGACCAAAAGTAGTAGGTATTTGTTTTGCCATTACTTCCATTGGAGTAGGTCCCAAGTAGTACTTGTTATTCACTTTGTCTAGAGTTGACATAGACACCAAAACTCCAGTTACAGCAGGGTCTGTGAATAGGATAAACATGATCTTGTCCTGTGAAAAAATCAATTGAAGATTTGTGATCATATTCGCATTCTCTTCGCTCCAAATACTCCATTGCATTCTTTTCCTTCTCTGCCCCTCCTCGAACACAATAGGCAGCACCCTAACAGATGGTGTAACACCCCCATTTTTCCCACCCAAAAATACCTTTAAATAATGATTTATTCAAAGGAATTTAAGCTTTATTTGAAAACATCAGAATTGTGCAGCGGAAATTTAAATGGAAATAAGGGGCGTTACTGTCACACTCGGTTCTCACGTAACCGAGTGCACAGGCTAACCACCACCAATACAACTTCATAAATGTGAATAAAACAAATTTCTCATATTTAATTTGTTTAACTATGAATATTATGATTAAACCAAATGTGAATTACTTAATCACTTTAATCTACGTGTTCTAGCGGAAGCTCTCGAAATCATCACCAAGTCTCCACCTGTACAAAATCAGGTACAGAAAGAAAACACAGAAACAAAAATTAGCTTGAAATGCTAAGTAAGGTCCTACTCAACCCTGTAAAATAATCATGTTTGATACATATATAATTTTGTCAAAATACATGTTAAAACTCTTTTTAGGCATGTCGAAACCTTCTCAAAATGCTTTACAATTCCTCAAATGCAAGTAAAATATTTGATCTCATAAATACACAAATAAATACACACACCAAACTGGGGTTCGTAAAAATTATTCCATCTCAATAGCATATCACACATATGCAAGTAAAATAATGTCTTAATATCTCATAGTCCTCCAAAATACTTTCTCAAATATGTTTACTTTCCAACATACTAAATGCGGAGTAATAATTTTCGAATATCGTTCATAGCTAAAAATAATGTTGATAAACATTGAATAGTTCGTATAATAGGAGTAAGATATTACTTCCTAAAATACTTAATCTCCAAAATAGCTTTTGAAATCCAAACACACATCTCATATTCCTAAATAAATTCAATCCAAATGGATTGCTAGCTTTACCAAAGTCCTTCAAAAATCCATATCCAAAAGTGTTTGTAATATTTGGTGGTAAGTATCATTCTCCAAATAGTATGATTTCTTCAACAACTCTTATAAGTATTATAAGGAATAATTCTCCACAATAGTCTCAATGGTAACAAAAAGATTTAATGCCCCCAAAATATTTAATCCTCCCATATATCCAAAATGATTCAAGGTCTCAAAATAATTCCTCCAATACATATTTCCATTCTCAATATATCCAAAAGTAATACTTTATGTTTCTTTTAAGAGTGGGCAAAACTCAAGATTCCTCGAGTCCAATGAGTCGTTGTTGTCTACGACTCATCCCGGAATTCCGGCTCCCACCGACCACCAATTGGAAGCTGAATTTCTACCTTAAGTGTGCACACCCTCTAAAAGAGATTCTAAGCTCTCTGAGTAGTAAGAAATCCAAGTAGGCAGGATGTTTTCTACCACCTACTCAAAAGGGACATTGTCCAAGGGTAAATTAGGTAACTATTACTACGACCACCAAAGGATCTTTGATCCTCAAGTAAAAGCTCGGGATGTCTACCGGAGCGTGTCATTGCTGGACTGGTTACCGACCCAAATAAATTTCACCAAAAGTAGTAGTAGCCCTAACCACCCACGCCTCGTGTTTCTCTCGAGACGTAAAAATATATTATGAAAACTTTAGGTTTTCCCCAAAATCATTCTTGTCACACTTCCAAAGATATTCTTTGTAATAAACATCAATCCACCAATATTCTTTAAAAAGAATATACATTTAATCCTCCATAAATAATTCATGCGGTTCAAATATTGCATACATATAAGGATACGGCAAATCATTTTTTATTGGCATCGAAATCTACATTGCTGTAAAAATAAGTACTAGTTATACTCATATATAAAGGTGTTTATTAAAAAAAAAGGTGTTTATTTTATATATTGTACCAAGATCTCTTAAAATCATTTGTAGCTCAATAACAACTTTGATAGTCAAATGCTCGCAATATCATTCAAGTATCGAATTTTATAAATAAATACTTTTATTAAAACATCTCAAAATTGTTGATGAGGTAAAACAGTAAATGTTGGTAAACATTAATTTTTACCATAATCATATTTTTAAAAATAATAATTTCAAAAAGATAGTAGTCTCACATACATGTATAAATTAATTGAAATTCCCTCAATTATCGAAGAGGCAAATATCAAATAATAGAAAAACTTAGGTACTTGTGACCATATCTTCAATATCAAATAGCTAATAATTATTATATATTTATCAAAACCTCTCAAAATCCTCTATAATTTTATAGATTCAAAATATAGTTATAGATGTACATCATTTAAATGTATTAGTGTAAAATATGCTCTGTATATATTTATCATGATTTATCAAAAAAGTCTATGAGATGGAATATAAACCTTTAATTTGAAAACATAAACTCTTGTATAGATATATACACAGATTTTTTGGTCTCAAATAAAATATGATTTTTATCAAAACTGTAGAAATAATAATTGTATTCTCAAAATCACTAGCATTTCAAATATTAATTTTTTTTATAGAAACAAGGACTTGTCATATTCCCAAAAATAGTCATACCATCCAATGTCAAATTGTCGTTTTACAAAAAGAACTTAATATCCAAATCACACTTTCTCAAGATCAATCAACTCATTTTGTGCACAAGATAGTCATAGTTCAAAATTTCATAATCGATCTTCACTGCAACCACCTTTTAACTATTAAAATTTCATAATAAGTACTTTATTCTACTTTTCATTTTATCCAGTTTCTCCTAACCCAATTGATTTTATTATTATTATCATTATAATAATTATCTCAGTCCAATTAAGGATTTTCGGCCAGTCCGAATAATATCTTATTTAAATTTAATTAAATCTAGGTGTACCAAAAGGAAATAAAGAGGCAGAGTACTTACGTACTCCTCGGACGTCTTCATCGTCAGTGAAACCGGCGAATAGGCCGGTCGTACCTCAGCTCTTCTCCGTCGGTGACTGCAGATCGTTCTTCCTCACTCAGGCGTCAATTGCTGACGGTACGGACTGCTCTGACCAATACTTCATTTGTGGTGAAGGCAGGTTTGTCGGCCGCGGGACCAAACAAGGGAATTAGACCTAAATAGGACTAATAAAAAAGATGGGAAGGTAAATAGGACCTACATATTTTTAAACCCCAAATTAAATAGGAGTCATTTTAAACTCAAGTGACAAAACTGCCCTTACTAATGTCGCTCGCAGCTTTGCACCAATGTTGCAACAATTTTGAATTCAAGTCCCGAGCTGCATCAGATGATCTGCAGGAGAAGTCGCCGGCGGTAGTCACCAACAAAGTGGTCTGCGGCGAAAGTCTTCATCCATGTCCTAAATTCTTCCCCTGTGTCATATCTGTGATGCGATGAGTGTCGACCTGTTTGTAGCTTCTTGTTTGGCTTTAGTTTGTTGTTTTTGTTTCACCTTTTGCTTTTTACTTTTCAATTCAGTAGTTAAGGAGTTGTCGGAGTGGGAAGTATTATTTTTGTTGGTGTTCTTTTACGTTTTCGTATTTTAATTTTATTTTATTTTGTATTTTTATGTTCCTTACAATATGTCATAGCTTTTGTTGGTTTTGTTTTACGTTTCAGTTTTTAACATTGTCATAGCTTTTGTTGGTGTTGTTTTACTTTTCAATCCATAGATTTTGGAGTCATTTAATAAAAGTAATTTTCTGGATTTATTATTTATGACATTGCTACAGAGTTATTGTGACATTGTGTCATTGTTTTCGTTAATAATATTATGATATTTATAACATTTGTAAGAAACATCACGAGGAAGTCACAATGTCAACTAATTACAATGAGAATATAAATATCAATAGTATGAAAAATATATGATAATGTTATACTCACAATGTCAATGACAATGTTATACTTACAATGTCAATGACAATGTTATACTCACGATGACAATGACAATGTCAATGTAAATGACATTAAAATGACATTGTAGCAATGACAATGAGTGTCATTGCCAATGGTGTGAAAAATGACATTGTGATCAATGTCAATATTGAAATAAAAAATTTCACAATGTCAACTTTGAAATTGGAAATATTTCACAATGTCATATATTACAAATCATAAACAATTCCAAAACAAACAATGTTATAATATTGTTAACATTATTGTCTAAATTAAAAAAAAATGTGAATGACAATGTTATAAAAGAAATGCCATTGTAACAAAGATATAAAGACAATATCATTATTAGTATTGTGACAATGTGAAATTACAATGTCATTGGAATCAAACTATTTTGAAAAGAATGTCAACATTACAAAATGTCATGCTAAAATCATTTATCAACATTGCCATTATGAATTGTGTGACAATGTTGATATCATTGTAATATTATGTGATAGTACACATCAAATTGTGACATTGACAATGACATTTGAATTAAATATTTTCTAAAAATAAATAATAGAAAAAAAAAATTAGAACTCAATAAAAGAAATTAGATAAACAAATAGAATACCATTCAACAAAATAAGAAAATGGAAAGGAGCCAAAATAATGGAAAGCAACCAAGCGTGTGCTCAATTGAAAACAATAAAAAATTGAAAAGTTTAAAAAGCTCATCAGAAAGCAGCGGCCAGCAAACCTCCAGATCTGCCCAAGAGAAAAAGTTCCCAGATCTAGAAGAAGAAAGAAGGTACGTAGAAGAAGAGGAAGAAGGTGGGGAGAGGACTGAGGAGAACGCACCAGCACATCCCACCACAGCCGCTGCACCGCCACGTCTTCTCTATTGAACCGCCGCGCCGCCGCGTCTTCTCTATTGAGCCGCCGGCACCGTCGAACGCTGATGTATCGCCGTGTCTTACCACATCGGCACTACAGATCAATTCCTTCTTCATTTTCTGGTGCTGGATCGAATCATAGTCACGTCTCATCGTTTTTATGTACGGCTGAATGCTGCCGTCGCTGCGGTGTGTTTCGCTAAGTTGCGACTGATGTTTTCAAAAGGGTTGTCGAGAAGAGAGCGAACATAAGGAACCGAGGAAGACATTAGCCGAAAAGAAATAAGAGGGTAAAGACGTCCGAACTAATCAAATATGTCCTATTTAAGGATTAAAAAGTAGTAGGTCCTATTTAGTTACATCACCTTATTTTTGGTCCTATCTCCGGTACGTTTTTGTTTCCCCCTCCGGTCAACACGGGCGGAGTCGCAATGGTCAGCGTCCAGTGGTGGTATCCTTCTCCGGCAAAAGGTAACAGCGTTATCTCTGGAAAGCGGCGGCAACGGTCTGGCCTTCTCCGACGTTCGTGTGACTCTTCTCCGGCGAGCTCCTTCATCTTTCTCACGTTTCTCATTTTTCTCTCTCTCTTATCTATGGAGGGGAGGTGAGTAGGTGACTAGAACTTGGTCGGCCTCCTCTTTGGGTTTCGTAGAAACGATGGGACAAGTATATATTGGAGTAATATATACGGAGCATGTATATATATAACAAGTACTAGTATATAGATATTTAAAAGGTTTCCCTTTGCGAAGCTTTCCATGCGCAGGTACCGAGGTATGAAGGTTCTGGCTTAGGTCCGTTTGGTAGTAAATTATTAGCTAGACTAGTTCAAGTCATTTGTATTATTTTAGTGAATGAAGATGATGTCCGGCCACATGCATTGATAGGCACTAATTGTTAGTGCCTAAGTATACGTTTTTATAATTGTTTGTGATGTTGATTTACTATTATTGTGCAAAGTTTGTATTTGTTAGTTTGCATTTGATTGTAATTGTATTTCTAGCATTTAATTATTTTTTGTAAGAAATAGTTAGTTGGGTTTGAGAACAGGAAAGCTTGGAAGGCAAAAAGGATGCAAAATCCTGAGTTTAGGGCAAAACCCGGCCGGGTATGGCATTTACCCGGCCATGTATGAGGTGAAAAACGAAGATTCTGGGAAGGTTCATCAAATACCCGGTCGGGTATTCCATTTACCCGGTCGGGTAAGAATTGAAGTGACTTGCGACAAAAAGACGTGCTGCAGAACAAAAGAACGTGGGAAAAAGATATGATTTGATAAATACCCGGGCGGGTATCTCAAATACCCAGCCGGGTATCCGCCGCAGCACCTTCAAAACACCTATAAATAGCCTCATTTTCCTTCACTTTTAATCACTCCTTCTTCCATACTCTTAAGCTCAACTTAGAATAGTATTTCTTTTATATTTTTATAGCATGTTTAGTCTCCAAATGAGGAGCTAAACTTTCATTTCTTGGTGTTGCTCTTGAAGCTTGTTGATTATTAAAGTTGTGAGTTATTTTCTTAACTTCTTCCCTTGAATATTAATTATTCTCTTAATCTATCTATATATTAATGTTGGGGAGTGTTGCTAAAATGACAATTAGTTAACATCTCAACATTAGTTATAGTAGTATTTATTTTCTTCCTCTATATATTAATGTTGGGGAGTGTTACTAAGATGACAATTAGATAACATCTTGACATTAGTTATAGTAGGATTATTCATATTTAATCTTCTTCCTTGAATATTAATTCTTCCCTTAATCTATCTCTATGTTAATGTTGGGGAGTGATGCTAAGATGACAATTAGTTAACATCTCAACATTAATTACTACTAGAAACGTTCAACGAACCGATGATTAATCACTGATGGTTTCACAAGTAAGTAACTTCGGTTTATTAATGGACGGTCGTGGTTAATAAACTTAAGAGGGATTAATTTTGTTGGTTAAACCGAAACAGTTGTGTTGAGGTTATCAATCTCAATTGATTTCATCAAGGAGTTAAGAGATTAAATGCTACTATCACGTCGGTATATGGCGGTGTTCTATACATGACTAATAGTAAGGGCTATTAATGAACGGTCGTTGTTAATAACTACCCTCGATGAATTGGATATACTCCTCGATTGAGTATTCGGGAGGGGATAAGTTATAGATATAACAATGATCGACTAAAATATATCAACAAGTGGAAAATAGCAATGCCAAGTCATTTTTATCTTTGAATTAAATCTCATATAAGTCCTTCATCTTAGTATTTAATTAATTAAATTCCAACAATACCATACCCCCTTTTATTTACTAGTTCATAAAAAGAGAATTATTCCTTTCCCTGTGGATACGAACTCTACTTCACTATACTACGTATTAGTGCTAGTATTGAATTTATTTTGACGCACCGTGACAAAGTGCCCGTCATGCATGCATGTGAAGGTGCAGAACTGCAGGTCCTATCCCTTGTTTTTATCGCAAGTTGACTGCTGCAGAACATGGGCTGTGGGTATTTAATTGTATGGAAATTTATGTGGTTGTGCTGCTCTTATTATACGAAGTATACGTTATTACCTACGGAATATATGGGAATGAATATATGGGTGTAATATTCATGTACTACGTAGGCATGTATGTGACCATGTTAATTACAAGAGTTATTATTTAGCTTGAAAAGTCAACCTTTGGATATTGTTACTTCTACATGCATACTATTTAGTGTACTTTTGTGCATATTACAACTCAACACCTATAAGTCAAAATGCCACATTTCATTATTTAGGTATAATTATTATTGTTACAAATTTGTCACTTTGTTATTAAGACAAAGTCTTGTATGGTCAACTTCATCATTAAATCTCACTTTTGTAAAATTATATCTCATTAAAGTAATTATTTATTTTATTTAATTTAAAAGTTTCGGAGTGTCACATATGGCTCCCTCACTTTTCTCCAAGGTGCATGTTCTAGTATGTTTTTGAGGCGTGCCTCGGTGATCAGTGCAAGCTAGATCAGAAACCCGCATGTAATCCCTGATTTACCCAATCTTCTTCTTATTGTATTCAAACCCGGGATTTCAAACCAATGACCTGTATCTGAATATCCAGAACCCCATCCTGCTGATCAAGCTTCTTCATCACAAAGCTGTCAACAATCGCGAAGAGTGCTTCTGGATCTGCAGGAAAACACAAATGAAGTTTCTTTCCTCGATGTTGTTCTATGAAAAGGGTGGAACAGAGGACAAAGACAATGCTATCTTGAAATAGGTTTGACTTGAACTCGCAAACCCTAACCTATCAGGAGGGGGGAGCCCGAAGACTTTCTTGGGTTTGATCTCCCTTTCAACCAGGCCTCTGCATCTCTATTAGGTAGGATTTAGAGATCAATTCAAATGCTCATTTAGAAGTATAAAAATATAATTTAAAAACATAATAATCTAATTTGTTAACATTCAAGATAGATTAGAATTAGTCAATAACTAATTAGAAAGTTATAAGTTTTAAATGAATTAAAAGTTCAGTTATATAAAACTCTAGATTATTAGTGAAGAGTGACGCTTTAACTGCAGAACTGGATTTGTTGGGTTGATCAAATTAAGTTTGCTTATTATAAATATGATGTTTGCGAGTTCCTCCCTTATACGCTTAACATAACATCGTGTTTACAAAGAGTTCTTGAAGGTATTTTTCCAACACTAATAAGGAAGAGAAATGTGTCATCTAATAGTTTGCACTATCTCCATAGTGGAATTACTACATAAATAATCTAGATTTATTTTGAAGTTCACACAAGTTATTCCAAATCAATGTGGACTGTCCCTATTGTATCCCCATTCTCTAAGTGGTGTAAGGTTATATGGCAGTGCAAAAGATCCCAAATATAGCCATAAGTGATGCGATCAGCCTCAAGAGAAGTATATTAGTACCAGGGATGCTGAAAGATTAGAAAGAAACCCAGAAATAACAATCTTAGGAATTACAATTCTCTTCAACTATCAAAGTCTATAGATTTTTCAATTACTCATTCAAATAGATTTGCATTCAAATAGGTTCAAGAAGTACATTTTCAATGACAAAAACAGATCTTCTCAATCATTAAAAAGGATAAGTCGGCCAACAATTTTAAAACTCAAGAAAGAAAACCCTTAGATACAGCTAAAACTAAAGGAAGAAATCCCTTAGATACAAAGTACCTCCAATTGAATGAATGTAGAAAATGAAATATCAATGCATCAAAATGGAATCCGAAATTGAAAAGGAGAAGAAAGATTATTAACAGGAATAACTATTTGAATCGACTATAGAGAGGAACCCAATCTGACTTCAGAACCTGCTAACTCATACATTAAAAAAATATTCAATTATATAAAAAGATTAATAAGAGGGAATCACTACACATCCCAGTTTAAGGAATGGTTCTAATGAGAACACTCCTTATTGTAAGAAGTGAGAACAAATCCTGGCCTATAATCTTGTCAAACGAACGGTCTATTATTTGAACGGTGCACAGTATTGTGGTGCACTTCATCGTATAGAACAACAACTACCAAAATTAATATGAGGAAACATGGCCTCAATAGAATGTAAAAAGGTCAAAATTGGAAAACACCTTTTATGAGATTTCATTTTCAGTTTCCACTTCACAAAAAATAGTCGTTCATTACTAGGTTGACAAAAATAAGGAGATTACTTTTGGAAACTACCGTAATCGATTATCAACTATATCTTCAAGTTAATTTCAATTAATGGTGTGGTTTTTAATAATTAAAATAAGTGAGACAAACAAGTATACATGTGTATTTGAATGAAATAAAAGTGGGAGCCGTGCTTAGATTGTGCATAAAGTGGGGTATTTGTTTTTTAGATAAGAACTGTAGTAGTTAATGTGCACTAAAATGATGTAGTAGTGATTAAGATATGGTATATTGTGATAATTATATTTGGAAATATAAATTGAAAGTTAGTAGCATAAATGTGAATGTTTGCATTTGTACGATACATTAATGTAGTAGTGAATTGTACAGATGCATTTAGTGAACAAAATATGCAAATGTTAAGATGTAAAGTATGTAAAATATATGGAAACCGTAAATGTGCAATTGATAGTCATTCAGTGTGCATAAAGTGAATAAACAAGTGCAAATGTTCATTTGAATGACATAATAGTGTCAATCGTGTTTAGATTGTGCATAAAATGGGGTATTTGTTTTTTAGATAAGAATTCTAGTCATTAATGTGCACTAAAATGTTGTATTAGTGATTAAGATATGGTATATTGTGATAATTATATTTGAGAAATATAAATTGAAATTTAGTAGCGTAAATGTGAATGTTTTGCATTTGTACGACACATTAATGCAGTAGTGAATTGTACAAATGCATATGAGTGAACAAAATATTCAAATGTTTTAAGATGTAAAGTATGTAAAATATATGGAAACTATGAATGTGCAACTGATATCCATTCATTGTGCATAAAGTGAATAAACAAGTGCAAATGTTCATTTGAATGACATAAGAGCATCCACAATGCCTCCAAGTCTAGTCTCAATTAAAAATGACAAATGTCAAATACTTAAATGGGTTTCTAATCCACATAATAAAAAGTGGAATGATTGGATAGTGAGGAATGCATTAAACCTCCAATGCATATAGTCTTACGGTCCATGAGAACTGCCATTTGGAATTAAATTAAATATTTTAAATTTAAAGTAAAACTGAAAATATATTAAATTAATATAACTGTCATATGAAAACTACCCATTATTTCGTTTCTCTACTGTTTTTCCGAAGATAGAGGCCATTTTGATGTGAGTCAGCAAGTTTAAGGGGATGTCTACACATACACATTTAGCTTCACACCGTTCAATTTTTAATTTGCCATGTCACCAAATCTTACTTACACACTACATGCATTGGAAGAGAAATAAGTAGTCTAA